GGCGTGGCTCAGTGGTAGAGCCCCTGCCTAGAATCCCCCAGTGAGGGATGGGGGTGTGGCTCAGTGGTAGAGTCCCTGCCTAGAATCCCCCAGGGAGGGGCTGGGGGCGTGGTCAATGCTAAGGCCCTGGGTTCCATTCTCAGAATCACAGGAAAAAAACAAGAAAGAAAAAAGAAAAGCAGGGCCATTTCTGGATGGGATACACTAGCACTAGAATCTTCCTAAGCAAGCATCCCAGCTGGGTCAGGTCAGACACACACAAAGCATTCCTGCTCCTTTGTATATTTAGTGACTTCCGGAGGGTTTTTGTCAGAGGCTGCTGGCGTGCTTACCTCCTGTTTGTGGGCCTTGTCTGGCTGGTGGATACCGTTGGCAGAACCGGAATTGCTGATGGTCTGTGAGGGGAGCGGAGGGGAGGAGCTACTGAGTAGGTGGCCAGGATGCAGTTCCACATGTAACCACAAGGAGACAATCTTCCCGATGGGACCAGCCACGCTTGGAACCAAAGTCCTTTAGACTAGGTCTCCCAGGACAGCAATGCTTACTTCCTTTTCAGACTGGCGTTTCAAGGTTGGGGCCACCCACCTTCAGACTGGGGATCCAGTGCTGGGACACTCTCCTCTGTCAGACTGGGTTCCCCAAGATGGAGCTGCCTCCCGTTTGGGACTGGGGTTCCCGAGGCTACAGCCCCATGTGCTCACCTGAGTCCTATCTGAGCAGCCCCTCAGGGCCTCCACCAGCCTCTCCACCTGCTGGGCCTGGTCCAGTGCGTCCCGCAGGGCATCCTCCGTGCTCACCAACTGATGCTGCAGTCGCAGCAGCTCGGGTGCTGAAGCTGGGTCAATGAGGGAGTAGCGTCTCTGCTCTGACAGGGACTTCTCCTTGTCCTGGAAGGGTGGAGATGTGGGAGTGTGATCTGCCGGTGTGGGTGTTAACTGGAAACGGACGGATCAGGCCCCAACTCCCTTCTGAGTGGAGCTTGTGCCTTACACGGACCTCCCTCCCCCAGACTTCACTTTCCAACTTCTTCAAGCCCTAGAATCTAAGATCCACCGCCCCATCCTTATGGCAGCCTTTCTGTTCTAACCCAGAGAATCAAGTGATACCCAATGTTTCTCTCTCACTTCCATCTCCACGTGACCCTTCCCCGACCCGTGCCTGGTCCCTTACAAGTGTCTCTCCTCTCTCCCCACCACGATGCTCAGTGTCCACACACCCCACTTTGGCCTCCCACCAAAATATTACAAGACCACCTGTCAGGCCCAGCCTCCTCAGTGCTCACCCCAGTCTGGCCCTTCAGGCCAAGCTCAGAGGTCTATGCAGACTGCCCTGAGGCTCCAGGACCCCACGCTCTTCATGTACCTTCTAGCTTTTCACTACGCTCTTCCAAGTGCAGGGCTGGCCCACCAGCATGGAGCCCCAAGATAAAAGTCTTAGCTCCCCTTTACCTCTGCCCACATTCCTGGCAAACCCACCAGCCCAGGGCCTCATCTCCTTCTGTGTCACAGAACCATAGAGGCCAAAAGTGTGTGCCTCTGGGGTGCACGGGTGTGCTGGCATTTAACCAGCCAGACATAAAATGCTAGCAGGGCAGCTAGGCCTGATAGCCCCATACCTAGGAGCAGATATGAAACCAGATGGATCTCAAATGGCTAAAGAGGTCTGTTTCAGATACAGGGTCTTATGTAGCCCAGGCTGGCACAGAACTTGCTATGTAGCTGAGGATACCCTTGAACATCTGATCTTCCTACATCCACATGTCCAGTGTTGGGATTACAGGCACAGGCCACTACATCTGATTTTATGTAGTGCTGGGGACAGAACACAGGACTTTATTCAAGCACTCTATCAACTGAGCCACATTCCCTCAGCACTTTATTCCCAAAGTGTGGGGGTAAGACGATCCACTGAATCCATACGCCAGACACGGCCAGAGACGGCCAGAGACAGCCAGAGCATAGGGCTGTAAATGTCAAACAGAAAGGGAAAGAGGGGACCAGCTCTGTCCTATGCTGCCAATGTTACTACCTGCGTCCATTCCCACTCACGGGGACTCAGCTCAAAGCCCAGTAGTTTCCACCGGAGGAGGGGCTTCAGAGCCCTGACTTGAACTTCTTGTATCTCTATTGACAAAACTCCAACACATCACTTAACAAGGAGCCCAGACCCTGGTTTCTGGTTGGATACCTCCCTGCATGGATTTTTTGGCCCTCTATGCATGATTGACTTTTGCCCTCTGGCTCTGGACAGAGCAGACTCTTTGTGTTGGTGTAGGGACCTCTCTGGTCATGACGTCTAAAAGGGGGCTGCTCCGCCCCTTCATCTGCTACAGCTTGAGAGCCTGGAGGACTGAATTTTCAACTCCCACTGTGACTCAGGAGGCCGCTGGTTCTCCTCGGCCTGGCAGGACAACCCTGGAAAGCCCTTCTCTCCTCCCCTCCCCTCCCCTCCCCTCCCCTCCCCTCCC